TGTATTTCGACAATTTCTCGATAATTTTCATGCAGGTATTTCTCTCAGATTCTACTGCAACGTCAAAAGAAATTCACTTCCTGAACTTCTTGTGCTTTATGATAATATTAGGCTTGTCATTTCCTTGTCAGTTTGAATTGACATGTCCCGGGGGATTGTTATATCGTAATTATGGGTAACTGTGTCCAGTTGGTGTTCATACCTCCTCACAATGGTTTCGATTGCATATTTTCCAGTGCACATCTGTCGCTACCTTGTTATGTCTCTGGGCATATTCATTTTTTGTCAGTTACGTCATCCTGAGATAATATGACCGACAGTGTCCTCATATTTTTCGCAGATCCTGCACACTGGTTTAGTTCCATTCTAGATTATGTGACAGTGACTGGATCTAGTTGCGAGGCTTTGGTCCTGAGCTGCAATAATTAGGCCTTCTATTTCAGTTTTCAGCTCAATGTACCTCAGCCACTGATGTCTTTTCTGTTGGTCGACATCTTTGCCATGTAACGCCTTGTCCTCCTAGTTTTTTTTTTGTAATTTCATTTGGACAAGTTTTTTTCTTCTGTTTTACTCGTTTGGCGTATATGGGATTCGCTTCGTTTTCTGTTTCGGGTATATTAAGATGTTTCTTGAAGAGTTTAGCTTCTTTGTTGATGAAGTGGATTCGGTGTTTTTCCATTTGTAGGAAAGGGTCATTGGTTTGTGTAAAATATGATTCCAATCCGATTGTTGTAGTTTTTAGAGTTAGTTCAAGTTGGATTAGACCTCACCTTCTTAAAGCTCTTGGTACATACAGCCTATCAACATCTGATTTCAGGTGGTGCATCCTCATTTGGGTAAGTATTTTTCTGGTCTTGGTGTCCAATCTTTTAATGTTACTCAACTTCCATTTAATAATGTTGAAGCTATATGTTACTACGGGTATAGCTAATGAGTTGATAGTCTTCATTTTATTGGCCCCATTACGTTCGCTTGCTAGTATCAAACGCACTCTCCTATAATATTCTCTCCTATAATATTCTCTCCTATAATATTCTCTCCTATAATATTCTTTTCGGATCATTTTCTTCCTAGTTGAATGCTTTATTCTCTCACCCTCATTAATTCCTCGGTATTTCTATGTATGATCTTGGTCTAATTCCTTAATCTTGTTGTTGATATCAAAGTTTAAAGCTGTATTTTTCATTAGTTTACCGCCTTTGAAGGTGGCTTTGGCACAATTGTCGATTCTGAACTTCATCCTAATGTCTTCATTGAAGGTTTTGACAATGGCGAGTAGGTTTTTTCTGTTGGTTGTCATCCTTGGCAGATGTTTTAAGATTATTAGGTGATTCATTTTGCCATTCTGTGATTTCTATTCGTAGCTACTGTTGTTCAGTAGGCAGCTGAGTGGCGCTAAAGCAAGGCAGAAGAGTAGTGGTGACAATGAATCTCCTTGGAAGATCCAATTGTATGTCCTCTCGGTTATGATAGAAGTGAGGCTCTTGTACATTGTTGGTAGGCAAGTAATGGGCCTATAGTTCTTCGGTTCTTTTCTGTTTTTCTGCATTTATGATTATATCATTGTAGTCCTGTAAGGTTTTCATAGGTGCTAGATAGTTTTTTAATCCAAAAATTAGTTACTCGTTCTGTTCTTGGAGCTTTCCAGTTTTTTGGTTTTGCAGACGTCAGCGATTGTTTTAGTAATATTGATATCCATCCATTTGTGCCACTCTATATGTGTGGGTTGCTCTTGTTGCTCTTTCATTGTGTAATGTTCAGTTTCCTACATCTTAAACCAGAACTACTCGACTTCCTGGATATTAAGTTGTTCATTTATCTCTATTTTATTTTTCCCAGTTCTCAATAAAGTTTCTTCTTTGAAGATTTTGTTTTGCCAGAAGAATCTGTTTCTTTTTAAATAACGCCTGATTCTCTGTACCTACGCTTGAATTTGTTTTTTTTTCTTCTCTTTAATTTTTGATACATTAGTTTTATATAAGATGATTAATTTCTGTCACATTCATAGCGAGGTTGATGGTGTCCTTCACTTCACGCTTCTTTCTTACTTTTGAAATTGTCGGCCTTTCCTCGAAAGACATTTCTTTTACATTCTCTCATTTATATCGGGTATTTTTGCCATCTCTGTTTCTCTCTCATATTTGCCATTATCTTCTTCTATTTTGTATCTAATTATTATTATCATCCCATAAATAATACAAAACCGTTTACACCTTCGTTCTTTTGAGTCCAATAAATAAAAATAAATTTTCCAATAATCATGTTATTAAGACACTGAACGTGTAGTGAGTTTTACTAGTGCAAGGTTCCAGTCTCTACTCATTAAAACGAATTAAAGTCTATTATATATTTAGAACAATTTTCTTCCTTTGAGCATCTGTCTGCTGTTTTGCACTACGGATTTATTATGTTGCTCATGCAGTTTTGTAACCCTCAAATTTACCCAAATCTTCGAGGAGAGCGTGTCAGCTATTGGGTTCAGTTATCAGGGTTCAATCTGACTATTTTTATTGTTGTTTGTTTTTCATCGCAAATATCAAGTCTATACTAAACCCTGCGGGCGTTACATTTGAAAAGGGTTGCGTGATAATACTAATTATTCTGCATAGATCTATTGATAAGCCGAGGAATGATGGTGGTGGTGGAACGAATTAGCCAATTGGCTGGGCGCCGGTAACTGAAGTTTCATTTCCTGTTTCTCGACCCAATTTCCGTTTGAAGAACCAACCAATTAACCACAAAATCTTGCTTCCATAAGAAAGGTCCAACGAAAACAGGCGACCAATGCGATAGCTGTATAAGTACACTTGGTATCTAGTAACGCAACCGGTCATTCTAACAGTATAAAACTTGTTAGTTATGCAATAGCTGAGTAAAACAATGCTGTAAATTCTCAGCCTTTTTTGATAATTGAGGAATTGTTTGAAATACACAAAGCAAGAGGACAATCACAATTTTTTTTCAATAACAATTGAAAAATGTTACGATGAAAAACGTCCGCCTCCGAAAGAGAGAAGGTGGGGGTATTAAAGGAGTTTGTTAATTATAAGATTCCTTTTTGCTACATTTCGATTTAGATAGACTTACGGATATCAGATCTGCAGAAAATGAAAACAATGACGCAGCATAATGTTCGTAACTAATTATTTTCGCCATTTGGCCTTCTTTTGCCGTAACTAAACAACACTTATTAAATCAAAAAAATAATCGAACGTGTGTACTTTTATTGGTTGTTGCTTTGTCTGGCACAAGACCAAATGTAATGAACTGAAATTAGGAAGATTGCGAGTGGCAGTCTTCTAAGTAAAATTAACAACCTGGTCAAATTATACACATAAAAGCCCTATTCTGTCTCTATAGCTTGCATTAATTCCTGACCATTAACAATCCCTTTCTTCCTAGTTATACTATTGGAAAAGATGGCAAATCATTTGAATGCTTTGTCCGTGAAAATCAGGAAAAAGGGATTCTCTAAGGTCAGCAATTAAAGCACGCGTTTATAGAAGAGATTTTGTATACAGAATGTAAATGCATTGCTAATGATTTACTATAGAATTGGATGGAATATCAAGAAGGAATGGCTATTCAGTTGTTAGGAATCAATGTAAGCTTTACTAATAGAATTCGGTTATTATATGGATAATTGAAATGTATTGCTAGTGAGTTTACTGTATAAATTCTTTAAATATCATGAAGAAAGGGATTGTCTGTGGACAGGAATGAATGCAAGCTTTACTGACAAAATAAAACTATTTATAATGGTCGTGTCCTTTTATATAAAATCAATTGTCGATTCAATCAAACACAAACCAAAATGTCTAAACTATCAATTATATTCAACGGCTTACTCCTTTATGTTTTAAAGAAGACAGTTCTTCATCAGATCTCATAGACTGGCGCTACAGAATTAGAAAAAAACTTTATCAAATAAAAAAGCATAGCTCATAGCAAAACGTCCTATAACAGCAACAACTAAAATGGGTGATAGGTAGAAGCTAAAATAATAATATGCACAAAAAAGTACCTGGCCCACCGCTTATATGAGAAGGAATATTGCTTTGAAGAATTCTGTTAATGTTTTGCCCAATTAAGGAAGTACTGTAGAGTAATGGACTACAGTTCAATGAGAGTTCAATTGGAGAGCCGAGTTCGAAATCTAGTCAAGTTCAATTTATTCACTTAAGGTGCTAATACCCTTGGACAAGCTATGGGTAAATACTAGGACAGACTGGGTTCTATAGCCTTGGTTGGCAACCGGTCTAAGAGAAAGAAAACTCTGAATTCAAAACTGTATTGTAGCTCTGGCGAAGCTCATCCTATGCTGCTAAGGAGAGCATCGTTCGCATTGACTCGATAATCCCGACTATGGTCGACTCCTTTTTAAACGTGTTAATCTTTTTCACTGCATTAAACAAAAGGTTTATAAAGAAACTCCTGTCAATAATAGTGAACTTGAGAAACGTATTTTCTTGAAGGTTTTATAAAATTTCAAACGAGTTTAACGCAAATTGTTCGGTCAATGGAAGCCGAATGTTTCCCGTACAGAAGGAAGTTTAATTTTACTATTACCTTTAAGATGGAAACCCTTTTTGCTTTATCGCAACAGAGAGAAGGTTTATAGATATAGGTTAATGAATAAGTCCTGTATCACTAAATCATTATTATCTCCAAAAAGCGTCTTACAATCTAAAGAAAATCTTCTGGCTTTAAATAACCTGCAAAGGGTTGATAAATCATAAAAAATGAGTCAATCAATATTATTTCTTTTCTTTTTTAATTTATTGTTTTTCTTCCTCTATTTTTTTTCAGTTTTTCACTTTTATTTAATTTCTAATCTTTTATTATATTTCTCCCTCTTTTTCTTTCTTCAGTTACTCTCTCTCTTTTCTTCTTGGAGTTGACGTCTTTCCAACTTTCACCATCCTTCTCTCTCTCGGCTAACCTTTCTCTCCGACCCCCCCTCTCTCTCTCTATTTTATTTTCTTACTGATTCAACTGCCATGTTATTTTTTTTTCCTTCACAACTCGTCTCTTTCACTTTCCCCTTTTTGTTTGATTTTTCATCTCGCTCTTTTCTATTTATCCACCCCACTTTTTTTCTTTTTCTTTTTTCCTCTTTTTATTCTCAGCTTCTCGTTTTATTTTTTCTTTCTTTTTTTTTTTATCGATCGTTTCCCTATAGAAACTTCCTCTTCTTTTCCAAATTATTTTCCTTCCTTTCTTTTCCCCAATATTCATTTGTGATTTGATTTTATTTACTCAATTTAACCTGGTCTTAATTTTCCCCGATTTCTTTCTTCGATCACAACCTCTTCTTCCATTTTCTTCTCCTAGTGAAGCAATTGTCACCACTCGCTTTCCTGGTCCGCTTCTTTTCGTCATATCATTATTATAATTGTGCTAACCCCTGAACATGTCCCCACTGCGCATGATCACATCTTCGAACAAATAGCAAGATCTGTAGTTTCAGCACATTGGTAAAACACCCGGGTAAGAAACTGTTTTACCTATACCTCCCACTCTTTCGACAGGCAGGGTGGAATAGTTGGTGGATTTGGTTAGAAGCAAAGTGAAAGATCAAACACAGAAAAGCAGGAATTTTGGTCCTTCCTGTTATAAGCAGTTCTATCTCATAAACATGTTTTTAATGACCAATTTACTCCACATTTTTTAATACTAAATCAAAGTTGTAATTTTTTGATCGTTTCCGGTAAAATGATGTAGGAGAAAACTGTAGCTGTGATCACCGGAAGCAGAAGCCCGACAAAATGCTAATGTTTTTCGATAACTTTGAACTGAGATGATTTAAAATTTTAGATTTTAAAAATGCAAAAAACAAAAAACATTTTAAAAACATTTTAAATGTGCAAATAACAAAAACATTTAAAAAAAAAAGCATTTTAAAAATGCAAAAACAAAAAAACATTTAAAAAACATTTTAGAAATGCAAAAAACAAAAACATTTATAAAAAACATTTATAAAAACATTTATAAAAACATTTTGAAAATGCAAAAAACGAACCCCCCACCCCCAAAAAAAACAAGCCATGTTCTACTTTTCATAAGAGATAAGTGCTTACTTAAATAATTAAATTAAAATTCTAGCAAAAATAAAATAATCATTTTCTCTGTAACCATTAACGGTCATTATGGAATATGTGAGTCTGTTTTTTAAGTCACCCTTTGACAATCCTCTTTGCTGTTTAGCGGGAACTAATATTTTTCAGTATGATTTGCCTGGAGGTACTTTAAAATAAACATGTCAATTCAGGATAAAAGTAGACAATTTATATATTGGACAAACCAGACGACAACTACCGCTCTGAGCCCCGTGTTCGTCTGCTTGTGAAAGCGATACAATAAAGCTCTTTGATTACAGATACATACTTCAACGAATATGACCATTCACTTTCCACTTAGTTTATCTTAACCTATTTTTCACCTTTGGTGATGACGTATATGGCCGAAAGATAGCACGGAGACATTTATATTTTTCTGTTTTATTACTTCTTGACATTTACTAAGCCAAGGTTAGTATGGCGCAATATCATATTGCACACAGTGGGAATAAGTAAGACTGCGTTGTATGTTAGTCATTTAAAAAAAGAGGGGAATCAAAAGCTAGTCAGAGAGCATCAAGGAGTAAACGGACATGACAATGCCGGAACTCCTGAGGGCCACTAGATCATCCTGGAGGAGGTTGTTTGTTACATCTTCCCTAAGGTCTCCCCTACGACGATTGAAACAGTCACGACATTGATTTTGATGATGATATTGATGATGATGTTGATGATGATCGTGTAAAATATGGTTAATCTTAAGTCATCTTAAACTAGTGTAATTTATTTTTGTTCAATAAAAATTAGTAAATCTTTTCTTTAATACTATGTCCACGCGTCAAAAAAAGGATCCAGGCGTTCGAGAACGAATCCTTGAGAAAGCTCTTCAGCATCTCCTACTGGGAGCACAAATCCAATGACTACGTACAGAACAAGGTCAAAGGTCTCGTGGGCCGACAGGAATATTTATTCACCACTATTAAGTGTCGGAAGATATCCTGGTTTACCCACGTCACACGGCTTAACAGCCTCTGCATGACCATCATGCAAGACACTACTGAAGGCGGAAGCAAGAGGGGAATCAAAAGCTGGTCAGAGAACATCAAAGAATGAACTGATGACAATGCCGGAACTCCTGAGGGCCACCAGATTATCCTGGAGGAGGTTGCCTGTTACTTCTGCCCTTAGGTCTCCCCTACGACGATTGAAACCGTCACGAGATTGATGTTGATGATGATGATCGTGTAAACACTGGTTAATCTTAAGTCATCTTAAACTAGTGTAATTTATTTTTGTTCAATAAACTGTTACTTCTGCCCTTAGGTCTCCAGATATCGTCTCTGTTAACCACCGCTCGGGTACTTCAAGATGGCTTAGTTTCTTAGTTACTATATTAAAAACAATTAAAAAATTTGTCTGAAAATGAAAATAATTGGTAGGGAAGGAAGTTAAAGTCCAGTCATATTGAAAACTATTTATATTCAATAGGTGTTTTATCTTAGTGCAGAATGAAATCAATGTTGGAGAAGAAAATGTTGGAGAGGGAACAACATAGCCGTCATGTGATGTCGACCCAACTTGGCTTATGGCATACATTTGCAAATGAACTTAATTTTTTGCTCTCTCATTGTTTGAGCTAAACCTTTCGTTTATTAAAAACACGGGTTTACAAAAAAAAAATCACTGAGGCAAATAGATGTTTGTTTTTACTAATTTTGATGTGGTGAATTAAAATTTCTGAAATTCCGAGTGGGAAATACAAGTCTCATAGCTGAAGGAAGGTTGGGATATTTGATCACCCCTTTTTTTTTTGAAGAAGCATTGAAACTAGTTATAGTTTTTATATACAAATAGCAACAGTTCGCATGGATTCTTGGCTTTGTTCAGACCATCAGGACAGCAAAGTTGAAGGCTGCTTTCTTGCTATGAAGCCATGCAGTCAATTGGAACAGGCTGTGTGGGACCCAGGATTTGTCCTGATATCCAATGTTACATTCAAAACAATGAAACTAAGCAATTCACAGGAGCGGGGGAGTAATTATCCGCGGCTTTGCAATTGTCGAAAACCCCCACACGGTTATTACGTATGTTTTTTTCTTTTTTTTTTTAAAGAACACAATTTCTAAACTTTCAAACAGCAATGACCTAAATATGATACAGTTGACAACCTTGAATGCATATACATTTACGTACATGTATAACTAAAAAAAAATGAGGTGATTGTTGAAAACGGATTTCGTATCTAAAATCAGCATCCAAGAAATTAGGTTAGAACAACTATTTTTATGTTTGCCTCAATTTCTTTGCAAATCAGAGGAATTGATATTTTTCTACTGTTTTCATGCATTTTTTGTAATAAAAGTCAGTGAGTCGTTCCGTTAAATTTCAAGACTCAATCATATGATTGAATAAATCAAAATTACACTATTTACATTGTTCGGTTTATCCTCCTCATCTTTGTTGCCATACTTATCACAACGTTTCAGCCGTTGTACGCTCCGGCCTTCTTCAGGTGGTTGGAATATCGAACTGAACCCTTTATTTCGTTCGCCGGAGTAGACTGTTCTAGTTCCACGTGCCATGTCTAATGGATGTCAGTTATCAGTTATCTCCTGACAACTCTGCAAGTTATCTACAGCCTTAACCGGGTATTGAACTCACACTATTTGGGTCCTGCCACTGGATCTAACTAACGCCTTTATCCACTGTGCCATGTGCCTTGTGATAAATATGGCAACAAAGATGAGGACAATAGTCCGAATAATGTTAATAGTGTACATAATACCACATCTCAGAAATATAGACAAATCAAAATTAGTCATTTCTTTGCATTAACAGCGTTGCTGTTTTCATACTAATTGTTCTGATGAGTTTTCCTCTTTGGTGCCTCGACTTTACGAATTTAAGGACTGTACTATATTGGCAGATAGGTCTCATCATTTTACATTTGAAATGACGGCATCTAATCTTAAGTTCTATGCTGACAGTTTCTTCTCTCGCTCTCTTCTTGCTTCTCTTTGATTTTCTTCGATTTTTAAAAAATGAAATGCAATGCCAATCGTTATCTTCAGTCTTCTTAATTCTTGTTCTTTTATTGTCATCTCTCTTTTATAATGTTTTATGTTTGTTATATTCTCTCACACTCAGTAACACCCTTGCGTCTCAGTGGCTTTATTGCCTTGCTTGGAGTGAAATGATGGCATTTCTTTTCACTATATTTTTATTTTGCTCTCTCTGTAATTTGTCTCACTCTCTCTGTTTTTGGCCACACCCTTTCTCTGTAAAGTATTTCCATTATTTATCGATCTGATGTCTTTTCTAGCACCCTCCCTCTTTAACGTGTTTTATTTCTCTTTCTCTCTATATAAGATATCTCTGTAACATTTTTATATTTTTATCTCTCTCTCTCTAACATATTTTCTTTCTAATGTGTTTTCTACCCCCCTCTATAATATTTCTCTCTTTCTCTCTCTCTAACCCATTTATATCTCTCTATGAAAGGATTTATATATTTCCTCGTGTTTTCTATCTATCTCCCTAATATATTTTCTTTCTCTTTTTCTGTACGGGTTTTGTGTCTCAAACAGTTTGTATCCGTTATCTCTCTCCTTTTCTTTCTCTCTCTCTCTCTCTAATGTATTTTCTTTCATTCTCTCTCTGAAGCGTTTTATATCCACTCTCTCTATAACGATTTCCCCCCTCTCTCTAACGAGTTTTCTATCTTTTTGTGTTTTTCTCTTCCTATAAAGTTTTTATACATCTGTATTTTTTTATATCCCTCTCTCTTTTTATATCTCTTTCTATTTTTATAATCTCTCTTTCACCTTTTATACCCTCTCTCTTTTTATACCCTCTCCCTTTTTATACCCTTTCTCTCTTTTTATACCCCACTCTCTTTTTTATCCCTTTCTCTTTTTATACCCTCTTTATGCCCTTTCTCTCTTTTTATACCCTCTCTTTTTTAAATTAACTGTTTCCTTTCCGATTTACGAATATATTTAATCTGAATCTTATGCTTGACACAAGGACGCAAATCATTTAGGGATGCCCGAACTCACTTTCACTTCTAACGAATGTGCGAGGCTAGCTTGTTAACCAGTACACACCCTGATGATATTTCCATATATTCTTTACCGAAGATTGTCCCATGCAGAATTTTTATGTTTAGCTTCAGTTGGAAATCTACATACAAATTAGGAATCATTTGAAGTTAAATTTGAGATTGACTTTTATTTAGGCAAATCTGGCCACCATAAATGAAATGAGAATGTGACTAAAACTCTGGGAATCGATTAGCTAATCCTGTAGGTCAGATTAATGGCAGTTTTCCATTTCCAAAATCCCATCTTTGAGTATAATTTGGTTGAAGTTTTAGACTGCAGTTATAATTAAATTCTTTCAAAGAAATCCTCATACTACCTGACAGGATGGTGCTATACAATCAACAATGTTCGATCAAGATAAATGTAAGGATGTAGTTCAATTAAAAAAAGTGTACCTACTTAGGAAATTTCAAGAGGAGTTGTTCTTAAAACAAAAACGACAACCTGCCGATTTATGTACACTATATTGGAAATGTCTGTTTTCAAATATATACAGTAGCGGTTCCATTTAATCTTTACTTAAAAAAAAAAAACTATTATGTAAATTTTTGTAACTTTGTATAATATTTATGCATTGCACCCTAATCTTTATTCGGTAAAAATTTAATTGCTAATCATGCATTACTTTTTAAGTAATACACATATTTATGTCTTTGTTGTTTCCGTTCCTTATATTATGGCCGCTACTGTATATATTTGAAAACTGAGACCTGTTCATAGGGTCCCATCTCTCTCTATTAACATCGGACTTGTGGCCCCGAATTAAATATTTTTGAAAAAAAAGAAAAAAAAAAAAAAAACAAGACCTGCATCACGAAAGATTACGAAAGAAAGGCAGTTCGGAAAACACACTCTGTTAGTTCTGATAATAAAAGAACACTGAATTTGTTGATAAAGGTCTCAGACTCAACATGGAAGCCTGCGTCAAGTGCTTTGAAGAGGTAGTGTTGCCCTGGGTCAAGTGGGTGGCTGCTAAAAGACCCTATGTCTGACAACATGACTCTAAAGATTGCCACACAAGTAGGAGAACTCAGTCATGGCTGTCAGACAATTTCTGCGACTACATCACCCCTTAAGTCTAGTCACCTAACTCCGCAGACGGCACCCCCCTTCATTATAATGGGTAAGGTCCAGTTGAGCGAGAGACCAACAAAACACCTTGTAACACCAAAGATGAACTGAAGGCAAGGATTAGGGTAGCATTTACCAATCAGGAGATTCCGAAGTCGTCTGCAGACCGAGGCTGAAACTAAGGGCGATTTTATGGAATAAACTTATTCTTTAGTATTTCACGATATTTTGGTGTTATTTTGGTAAATATATCTGTTAAAATGAGTTGTCAGTGTTACTTCCATTTATATATATATATATATATATATATATATATATATATAGTTCTAAATTGAATAAGAACACCACTGAATCTCTAAAGAAATGCTGGTTCGTTCTGTCGAGTGAAGATGGCTCAGTGGTAGAAGCTCTGACTGACACCAAATCGGTTGGGTTTCAATCCGGACTTGAGGCATTCGGTTGTCTAGTCGTACTGAGCAGCTGTGATACAGCGAAACAGTACTGTCTGCGAATATATATATATATATATATATATATATATATATATATATTATATATATATATATATATTGGTTATTACTTTGCATTGGTGTCATTTTATTGTAATTATCTCCACTTACATAAATAAGTCAAGCATCAGATTGTTGATAAATTTCTTAACACCTCATAAAAACGCCCGCATCTTTGTTAAAAATGCTTTTTTGCGATATTTTAAGCTAAACGTAAGTAATTTTTGTTTCAACTCAGATTAATTAAACATTAAAAATGGTAATTTTTCTATAATAATATTTCAGAAAATATATTTTATTTTTTAAAGATTTTTTAATAAAAAGAATTTTGTTCTTTTGATGGATTTCGAAATGTAACGGATTTTAGGGATTTTGCTGGTAATCAGAAAAAATAATTTCGATCAATTTCAATTTGGCTTGACATACTTGAGTATCTTGCTTAATGGAAATATTAAATTTAATCTATTAGTTTGGAATTAAAACTAGAATAAAAGCTTCGAAAATATTTTTCATTTTTAAAATACAGTGTAACCCGGATATAAGAGAAACCCGGATATAAGAGAAACCCGGATATAAGAGATTTTTTCTCTGGTCCCAAATTAGAGCCTGTGTTAATGTATATAAAATAGACCGAACCCGGATATAAGAGACTTCTTCTCCGGCCCCGACAACTCTTTATATCCGGGTTACGCTGTACATGGCTTAGGTATTCCTTTTTTGGACGGTACCTATATATATATATATATATATATATATATATATATATATATATATATATATAATTTATATGCATAAAGAGATGAAAGGTGAGAAGAAGGAATGGAACATTTGTAATTGAGTATCTTCTGTTTAATGTTCAGTCAACAGCTGTTTACTCACAGTCTTTAATGATTTCTCGTGTCAAAAGCAAACACTTTGTAAGTTGTGCGTCCTGAAACACGTAACTTGGTTTTGTCATATCAGTTGCATTCAGTCAGCTTTGTCGTCAAACTTTATCCATCGCGTCTGAAGATTGCCGGCGATAAAATCACTGAAACCGTATGTTAAAGAACTTTGTTTTAACTTTTAAAATATTCCTCGTTTCGAACATCCTGAACAGAAAAATAGATAAAAATACAAAACACTGTGGGTTTTACATAAAGGTGAACCATTGAAACAAAAATGGGTATCACTGCTTCCAAATCAGCCTGAAATAGTTTTTCTTTTTATTCTCTTTGCCCTAATACTCTTAGATTAAAACAAAGTCTACGCATCATAGTGTTGGTATTTTGTAACTTAGTATAATCTGCTACATGTTATTAGAGGAGGAGATTAGTACTTTTTTTGCTCCGCGAAATACCAACAATGAAACCTCCCATCAACTGGATTATGTGAAAATTAATTTTTATTTTAAATAGACGCTGCAAGTAATTTTGAATAACCAAACTTTTTTAAAAAGGGCAACGCACAGAGTATTTTTGAATGACTTACTCTCAGATGTTTTCCCTCTATTTTTTTCAAAAAAACGTTATATAGGTACCTCCATTTGGTCGCGGGAAAAACTGCATAGCACGATGAAAAAAGGCCCCAAACTCAATAAAACAAAGTTTGAACAAAATGTTTATTATTAAGAGGAAAAACCAAGGTATTTTTTAAAATTATTTTTTGAAATTTTGGTTAAAAATCTTTTTTTTTTTTTTTTTTTTTACGTCAGCGGTAAACCAAAGATAAAGGTTTGTTTTTGTTGCGTTTTTTGCGGTGAAAAACACAATGATTTGGAAATTCTTGCAAAATTCAAATAATTGCCAGATTTTAATTAAACTTTCAGGACATATTCAGAAATGAATGAAATTATTTTTAGAGAGGATTTTTTTATTAGTTAAAAACAGGACTATTTGGAGTAAGTAAATCATCCATATTTTTTTTTTTTTTTTTTTTGTAAAATAGTCACCGGTTTCATCGAAAATCTGCTCTGAATTGTAAAACAAAAAATGCAACAAAACTATGACATTATTTAATCAGAAAAGCTTTTAATTGCATTTGTAAATAAGTTATATTAAGGACACTATTATCTGAATAATGAATTTTTACAAGAATTTTTTCAATTTTTAAAAATTTTAATTATCGTTAATTAATTTTAGGTTATCGAAAATTCAGTGACGGTGCCTAATATTACGTTACTGATCCCCCCTCCCCCCAAGTGTCACGGTACTAGAAAGAAAGAAAGAAAGAAAAAGAAAGAGAAATTCGTCAATTTTTGGGGTTGGCGTGTGGTACAGTGTAACTTAATGATGCTCGTCTTAAACTTGTATTTGAGAGATCGTAAAGTTGTTTGTCTTTTCTTTTTAGAAGGAACAGGAAATAAAACGACACCGGTCGTTACCAGCATCAGTAACCCCAAACTGTTAAGAGCTCATTCGAGAAATAATTAAAAATCGTGTTCTGACATAGATCAGTTTTATCTTATCTTATTAAAGAATCAAAACAGTTCGTCCGGTTTTACTTAATTTGCCGTTTTGATATACTGAATCTGTGGGAAACAAGAAATCAGGGGAGAGAGAAATAGAAAGGAGAGATAAAGAAAGGCAGATGCATGCGTGAGAGAGTGAGAGAAAGAAAGGCAGATTGATAATTAAGATAGCGATGAAAAAAGAGAAAGTAAGACAGATGGGTACGTGTGAGAATAACTGGGGGTGTGAGAATGATAGATTTGTATGTGAGAGAGTAGGAAAGACAGACAGAGAGAGAGAGAGAGAGAGAGAGGGCGGGAGCATGATAGACAGTATATAAAAGCAGTTTCATTTTTGGAATTCCTTTATTCACGAAATTCTGATTAAAACTACAGTGTAACCCGGTTATAAGAGAGTTGTCGTGACCGGAGAAGAAGTCTCTTATATCCGGGTTTCGTCTATTTTATATACATTAACACAGGCTCCAATTTGAGACCAGAGAAAATCTCTCTTATATCCGGGTTTCTCTTATATCCGGGTTACACTGTATAAACAAATCCAGCAAAGAACGTGTGTGTGTGTTCGTGTGTTCGTGTGTGTGTTTGTTTCTTTTATTCTTTATCTATTATTGACATTCGACGATATCGAGAGACCGTGAATCTGAACCCCAAAATCGCGGGTCTGGGCAAGGTCTTTTTTTTTTTTGCTCATGCAGCACGTCCCCCTTTTCCATGCTACCGAAATATGTTTGTCCAAAGAGAAAGTCAGGCGCCAATACAGCGCTTGGCACCGACGCAAGAGTTGCCTGAACGAAACACGAGGGACTCTGGTTCCGGATTTGAATACAGAGTTGTCCTT